CAGTTAAGTTGTTGCAATTAACTGTACAATTTTTTAAAAAAAAATAAAAAGTATGCAATCAACTATACAATAGGGAAGGGTGTAATTGAAAAATCACCTAAATCACTAAACTAAATAGACATGTTACTCGTCTTTACTTCTACTTGATCTTTTTTTTTTCCCCATTTCTCTCTTACCTCTTACTTTGCTTGTCTTCTAATGATACATATTGCAATTGTTGTGCGTGGGTACAACGCCTTTTATATTATATTCTTGCCTTATTATTTTCCCAATTTAACATGTTACATTGTTAATTGTTGTTATCTCTGTTTGAGTGCGGAAGAGTCTTGTAATCACTTACTTCTTTGGTGTCCCATGACATGCGGACTTTGGAATATGATTTATGGACTATATTGGGAATTAATTGAGTGATCTTCAGGACTGTTTGTGGGGAATTATGGGCTTGGGAAGGGATAGGTGTCAAAAGGAAAGTAGTAAATTTGATTCATTAGACCATTTTTTGGATTATTTGGAAAGAAAGGAATGCTAGTCTTTGAGGGCAAAACCTTATATTTGTATAAATTAAGAGATATGTGAATTTATTATTTTGAGACTAATATGTTAGGTAATGATATCATTATTGATGAGGATTTTGTGAATGTCATTATAACTCTAATCACATTGTAAATTTGTACATGGGCGGTACCCATTTTTTGGTACCTTGTTAATATAGATCTTACACTTTTTATTTTTTTAAAAAAAATATGTATTCTGGATATTTAATACTAATTCGTTGTCACAGGGAGGTCTATTAAAATTGCCAGCTTTTACAAAATGGATTTAGAAGATGAATTTCTCACAAAAGGTATGATTTCCTTCTATGCTATTTATTATATTTGAAGGGCAACATGTTTTGGTTTCTCCTTTTTCTTTTCTTTTGATTTATTTTTTGGATGCTTGTATTAATACAGCTGGAAAGGAAGAAAAAAGGAAAGCAGACCTTGAAAATAAATTAAATTTGCTGTCAATATCCAGTGATAGCTGCTTAGTATGCCATAATGCCATTTTTTCATAATCAATGTCAATTTATCTCATGCTCTTAAGGAATTCCTGTCTGAGACCAAGTGAAATGGGTGAGCTTGATCCCGTGTCCAAGTGGATGAAAAGTTATTTATTCAGATTATCTTGTTTTCTTCCTATTGAATGTCTCACATTCATACTTACTGTTCACTTTTATATGATCGATTTACATTGTGTAGATACAATTAAAAAAAAAAACGAAACTATTATGGAAGTCTTTAGTACTTTGGGAACCTTAAAACTTGTATTGCAAAATCAGTGACCGGAAAGTGCTCATGGTTGATTAGAAAATTGATTTTTCAGGCGCTTAAGTCACTGACTATATACATTGCCTAAAGATTGTATTTCTGCTGATATATTTCCACATGTTTTTATGAAGAAACAAGGTACAGTTCTGCATTACTTTGCTTATCTTTTATGGTGAAGTGATGAAGTGATTGATTCCTTGAAGGTTCTTAACCAATTTTTGATATCAAGTAAATTTTTCTTCCCTTCCATGGAAGGAGAAAAAATAATGAAAACATATTGTCTTAACTCTCTTTCTTTTTTTCTCTCTTTAAAAAAACAAATTAGTTTCATGCTATATTAACTAGTCAATACATTAATTGAGTATTTAAATGCCGAAGAAAGTCTCGATAATAGGATGCTATGGAATGTTGATTTTGTGAAATCTGTTATTTTTGTGTGATTTCTTACCATACAGGAATGCCGTTATAGGAAAAAATATATATATTTGCTCAGTTTGTTGCTGCAGTTATTTGAAGCTTGGACGTATAGTGCAGGTTATCGTCATAGTAGAATAAAAAGACCATTCACACTGGAATAAATGGAAGAATATTGTCATAGCTTTAAGGTGAAGATTCGACATGATTGGATTACCATGCAATCTGGTCAATGGTGGAGTTTTTTACTTAATGCACCTTACAAATTGCATAAAATGGTCCCTGGGTTCTGATTTTCATGTTGTACCACCAGTCAGATGTTTGATTCCTTTTAAAGTATAGATTAAATTAATTTACGATGGAATTTATTGGATCTGATTCGGTTCAATGTACACTACGTTTATTAGGATTTAAGGGTTCTTTCAGAACCCTAAGTCAGTCTGTAAAGTATAGATTAAATTAATTTAGCATGGAATTTATTGCATCCGATTCTGTTCAATGTACCCTAGGTTTATTAGGATTTAAGGGCTCTTTCAGAACTCTAAGTCAGTCTGTAACGCTTGTCACCTTCACTAAGAATACCAGTCATTCTCTATACCCTTACAATGTTAGATTTTCTCAGTTTTCTTTTTCGTTTTTCTCATTTGCCTTAGTCCAGGAATATTTTTTTTTTCATCAGGTATGTCTTATAGCTCGTTGACCTTTCTTTGGAGGAGGGATACTCTGCTTTTTCTTTCTGTTGGTCTATTTAGCTGAAGGATGTAATTCTGATCTTTCTTTATTTAAAGTCATGTTAAATCCACCACATAAGCACTAAAGCAGGTTTTTTACCACCATAGTCACACAAAAGACAATTTCAATTTAAAACTGAATGCACTTTAAAATATAATGACATTCCGATGGTGTTTTTTGGTCAGGATCTGGTTCTGCTGCTAGCGCATTTTCCAAATAAAATTGTTTTTTTTTCTGAGAAAAAAACATCTTTTTATTCCTTAATTTTATTGGTAGCAATTGGATATGTCTATTCTTTGCTGGGCAATGTCTATCCTCAGAAAAAAAAAAGTCTACTCTTTGCTGGGTAATGTGTGGCTGCACGAGAAATGATCTTTGGGCTTGTTTTGGTGTCACAATGGTTAAGTTGAAAAGGAAGCTTGTCTCCCTTCTCGTCCTCTCCATTTTTTGAGTTATTTAGAAGTAGAAACGCAGGAGATTTTTTGAGAATTATGCCTGGTTTTTGCTTCAATAGAGATACTTGGTTTAGAACCTTCTGTATTTTGTTTAAGGGCATCCCACTCAAGATGGGACTAGTCTTTCTGTTTTCATTGACTCAATGTCCTTGGGTCATGTATATTTGTGCAGTTGTACTTGCACAGCACCATATGTTGCTTTTCAATGACTCATCCTTTTTTTTTTCCTCAAAAAGAAAAAAAAGAGGAAGTTGGAACCTCTGCTTCAGTGTGGAGAGTTTTTATGACAAATACATATGGTCAAGATGGGATCTGTATCTTGCTAGAGGCTTGATTTTTTTTTTCTTTGAAAGTAGAGGCTGATTATTTTTCACTGGCATGCCGTTTCAGTCAGCAGGTTTGAGGATCCAAAGTGGAAATTTAAACTTAATCTATGTATTAATTGACACATGATTTTTTGCTTTTCTATAGAAAAGGGTGGCTATTTCTTTTTTTTTTTTGAATTTTTTAAAGCCTTAGAATTTCTTTTTTCCTCTTTATCTAGTTATTTTCCTTGATAATCCATCATAAGTAGAAGTTCTGTAATTTTAATCATAAGCATCTTGTTTGGAGAATGATTTTTGTAATGACTTGGCTAGATGTCAATTAGTTGGTCTAGTACCATGACTTAATCTTGCATTAGCCATTGGTCACCATAGCAAGTTTCCTAGGATTCAAATATATGATTGTACATTCTTTGTTTTTTTTGAAAGAAAAAGTACAATATTTTGTATTAGCAAGGTACCAAAGAAGAGTGAGTACTGCCCCTTTACAATATTTGTATGATTGTACATTCTTTTTCATTCCTGTTCTTAATCTTTTGGAGATAGGAGATGGTCAAGAAGATGCTAGCACCGATAATGCACTAGTCTTTTTTCTAGGAAGCACTATGTGATAGAATTCTCACTCTGGAGAAATTAAAGAATACAGGGAAGGGTCATTGTCAAACAATGCCCGATGTGTCTTTGTGATTGTGAATCCTCCAACCATCTTCTTTGGTTTCTGGAGGTTCAAAGGTTGTGCTATTCTGCTTTAGGTGTGCTCACTTAGCAATTGGTGGCTTCATGTTCAGTCGCAGATGAAATTTAGGCTTGGTGGGGTACTGGAGCATATAAATCTAGGAAAAACTCCGTTCTCTTTTTGTCTATCTATTTAGTTATTTGGAGGTCAAGGAACAAGAGAGTTTTTGAGTGCATTTCCTTTCTTTTAGACAGAATTAGAGACCACTGGCTCTATATTTGAGTTTCTTTTTTCCTTCTCTTTTTGAAATAATCTATACCTGAGTATTTTGTTTTCAGGATATCCTCTATTGATTGATGAGAACTTAGGGAGCCTTTACACTTTCTGGTATTTTGTAATACTCTGAATATAGGTGCACCCCTATAGTGCGTGTTGATTTACGTTCTTTCTCTCCCCAAAAGTAAATGTTGAAGCAGTTTTAACTGATTAGCAGTTTCAGTTATTTAGAGACTCTTTTACGCTCTAATTCTAAGCTTGCATATCCTTCTTTAAATATTGAAATCATCTGTATTGGCATGTATATCTATATGCATATTGGATTTGGAAGGGATGCTTCTTGCTAATCTACTAGATCTTGAATGTCCATTTTGAATCTCATGGTTGATGGCATAAGAACTCACGATGATTTAAGCAAAATAAAATTTAAGATTATGACTACTAAATCTTGCACAATAATCTAGACTTTAAGTTGCATAAAGTTTCCCAGAACCACATAATTGCTAATATTGTTATTATCTTGTGGCACCTGAACAGCTTCAATTTCTCACGAAGAAAACCTTATTTGAAAACTGTTTTGAAATTATCTTGAAATCCATACAAGCTCATGTTCATGGATGCATGAGGGTCCAGTATGACTGGGACCTTATATTGCTCAAATCATATTTATATATAAACATGTAGAGTATAGACTTCTTTTTCCCTTTTTGTTATTGTTCAAACTTTAGCTTTCAAAGATGTGAGGAAAATTTACAAGGTAAAATGGGAGAATAAAGTGGCTGAAGTAAGGTGAGGTTGAGAAATTAGTTATGAAGATATATCAGATTGACAAATATGTGGCTGTCTGTGCAATGGGTTGGCTTAGATGAAAGCATATGAAGGGTGGATGGAGTTGGGGAGAAGATAGGTGCCTTGTTGGCACAAAACAGTCAACTGACACTTTTGTTTTTATAGTTCATATTTTATCATTTAATGAACTATCAGATCTTATATATATTTCTGTGACATTACCCTTGTACGAAATATTCCCTCTAAGAATTTGAAAATTTGTCAGGTTTAGTTCATATTCCTTGGAATTCCTATCCCCATGTACAACTTTCTCATGTAACCTTCTTTTCCTTTGCAGTTTCTGGTGTCCAAAGCCTGTCTTCCAGTGTACAAAGCACTCCAGTGAAAAATGGGCATTTCGATGATGCTGCAAGAAGTCCAGAACTCCTTCAAGAGTTTCTGAAATCTGGTCCAAAGAAGGAACTTCTTCGAGCTTGCTTTGATAAGGAAAAGAAAAATTCAGCTTCATCCAAAAGCAAAATGGCAGAAATTTCAAAGATGAATAATAAAAATAGGAAGCAGGACACTAGAAAAGCTTCTTCCAGTTCCAACTGTCAGCCTTCCACCAGAAAGCAAAGCAGAAAGGGTGATCATCCCACCCGAGTCCCACCTGCTCCTGAGCAGTCTTCAGATTTTGGATGTGCAAATTCATGGATCTGTAAAAATTCTGCTTGTAGAGCCAGTATATCCATCGATGATACCTTTTGCAGAAGGTGTTCTTGCAATATATGTCATCATTTTGATGATAATAAGGACCCTAGTCTTTGGCTGGTGTGTGCATCTGAATCTGGTGAGGGAGACTACTGTGGTTCATCTTGCCATATTGAATGTGCTCTTCAACATGAGAAGGTGGGGGTTGTTGATCTTGGGCAGTTGATGCAGCTAGATGGCAGTTATTGTTGTGCCTCTTGTGGTAAAGTTTCGGGAATTCTTGGGTAAGAAACTGAGACTCAACTCTTAACAGTTAAAATTGTGTTACTTGTTTAAATGCATTTAGAAAAAATGTTTCTTGTCTAGCAATTTGAAATATGGCCTCACAAACCTTTTCAATGACACTTCCCAGAATTGCTGCTAGGAAATTATTCAGTTTCTTTACAGTTGCTACTTATCAATAATTTAGAGTTTAGCTGCATCCCATAAATTTATGCTACTTTGGGGTCCATTTAATAGGCTTCAATACACACGTGCACACACACACACACACACACACTCTTGACGTGGCATGAGAACAAATAGTTTACTGGAGAGAGAAAGTTCTTTGTTGGCGTCAATGGTGTTTGACCGTACAGTCACTAGGTTTCTTTCCTTTCTTATGCCAGTCTTTCAACTGCAAAGATTTTTGGTCATAGAGAGGAAACTGTTTGACCTCATTAGTAGCAAGTGCTCTTGAT